ATTTAAAGACAATATGAAGAATTAAGTAACTCAGTTCAGTCTGTTGTTTTTTTCTATGGTCATAGATTTCCTACTTATGCTTGCTGAACCTTTTTCTTTGCTCTCGTAGGATACTCTTGATTGAAGATTGTAAGAAAAACTAATCTAAAAAGTTTACTATTCTACTTCTCAAAATGTTTGTCGTAAGTTATACCAGACGATGATTTATCTGACAATCCGGTGTGACCGGTGAAGAGCCTGTTTGACTGGGGATCATTTTGCTATAATATAATACAATACTTTTTATTAGTAGGTAGTCAGAAAGCGTATATGATAAAAGTAAATAAAATTTGAAAAAAGAATGGAGAAGAGATATGTCTGGATGTTATAAAGGACTTTGTTTGATATTTTATCGTGGTTTGAATTTTTACAGCTTTTGGTGAAGAACGAAAGAGTATGTTTTATTTTTAATTAGTGAAGTAGGGAATTGATTAGATATTGTGAGCTATGTATAGCAGAAAGATTAGGAATCCCAGTTTGTGAATATAAGATAAATGCACATTTGATGCTTCAGGTAATCGTTTGATGAATTGTGAGAATTCTATTGGAAGGCTTTCCGATTGATTTAGGCTATAGATCATTTCCTTATTGAATCCCTTATTGCCAATAGTATAAAAGATTTTAGGCATCGCATTCGTTTATATTCTGGTGATTTCATATAATTCAGAGAATAAGATAAACTGTATTGTAAAGTGTGGGTTTTGAGAACAGAAGAAGATGTATGTCATGTAGTTTAGTGCTGTCCAAGATTATAAGTTTACACTGGCTGAAGGAAGTAAGGTTTTTTTTAGCAAAAAGTAATGAAGAGTAGACAGAAAAGCAAAAGATGTATGAGCAAAAGTTTCATGAGATGGGAAGCTGTAAAAATTATTTTTTTTTTTTTTCTTTTTCTGGATTTGAGTATTATAACAATAATTGGTTGAGTATCGTTGGGTACTGAAGGTGTTGGCTTTCATAAGGCTCATGTCATAAGGGAAGAGGTAGGTGGTGGTTTTGTAACTGATTAGCTTGAGCAGAAGAGCATGTTGTAAAAGCTTCCCAGTTGAAAGAGTGAAAAGAAATAAAGAAAGAAGAAAGGAATAGGCCAGACCCATTGATAATATGGTCCACCACAAAGTAATAGCGAAAGTGAATAAGCATTAGGATATAATGTTAATAGATCAGGTGAGTTTGTAGCATCATTTATAAATTTAATTTTAGATTTGGATATGTATCAATGTATGGTAGGGACAGATGGAAATTATATATATTGTCATTGTTAATGTTTAATATAGATATTAGTTTTATGAATGTGATGAAATTATAGGATTTGGTAAAATTTTTATTTTTCTATGCATGTGAGAAGTGGATTTTTTTTATCAAGTAATGTGTTCTTTTTTCAACATTGGTTATCAGACCCAAATTCTTACCTTTATTTATAATCCGGTGGATAATATGAAGTATGTAGCATAGATTATCAGTTATAGTATTTGCTGTAAGATATTAGAAGTCAAATTGTAAGATCAATAAATTAAGCGTACGAATTGATTGGCCAGGATTTAATGATGCTGAGTTTTATTTTTTATGAGTGCAGATAATGGATAGAGAATAAGACCCACTGAGGTTGGACGTGGCAATTGTTGTTCTTCGTGCTGATGAAGTGCATTATAAGACGCTAGAGATGAAAAGAAAAAAAAAAAATTCCACTCCAATCACTGCAGCCTATATCATTTATTGGATTGGCTAATGAATTTTTTCCTTAGTCTTTGAAGCAGGTGTATCCAGAGGCATAGATTTTCTTATAGTACATGTTATTGCTTCTCTATTTCTTTTAGCAGTCTTACAGTGTGTTGTTATACATTGACGGACTCCATAATAATTCAGTATTTATGTTCAATGGTAAGTTCTAATTCCTATGTTTCATTTTAAGAAGCAGACAAACTACTAAATAGAGGATTAATGAGGTTTGATAACTTATAAGAAGGTTGTTATAAGCGATCGGATGGGATGTAAGTCTGATTACTTTGCAAAGTAGTCGTTGTAGGATGTGTTAAAAGGATCAGAAGTAGGATTCGTGTAGATGATGGGTCGTGTGGATCGTTGGGATGTATATGATGTAGGTAGGATCAAGTGGACGTGTTTTATGATTTCATTATTTTAATATAATGTTTTTTTTAAAATCATTTCAATCTTCACATTACTACTCTAACTCACACATAACTCATATACTAAATAAAACCATAATCCAATCACCTACTCTTAAGTAACTTTTTTCAACAAAAAGGGAGGAGGAGAGAGATGGGGTGAGGTTGTGTAGGTAAGGATGGTGATGGGGTGGAGGTTGTGTAGTGGGTTAGGTTTAGTGGAGTAGGTGAGGTGGTAGTGGTGTAGTGGGTTAGGTTTAGTGGAGTAGGTTTAAGTGGGTGAAGTAGGTGGAGAGTATGTGGATTTAGTGGGTTAGGTTTAGTGGAGTAGGTTTAAGTGGGTGAAGTAGGTGGAGAGTATGTGGATTTAGTGGGTTAGGTTTAGTGGAGTAGGTTTAAGTGGGTGAAGTAGGTGGAGAGTATGTGGATTTAGTGGGTTAGGTTTAGTGGAGTAGGTTTAAGTGGGTGAAGTAGGTGGAGAGTATGTGGATTTAGTGGGTTAGGTTTAGTGGAGTAGGTTTAAGTGGGTGAAGTAGGTGGAGAGTAGGTGGTGGGTTAGGTTTAGTGGAGTAGGTTTAAGTGGGTGAAGTAGGTGGAGAGTAGGTGGTGGGTTAGGTTTAGTGGAGTAGGTTTAAGTGGGTGAAGTAGGTGGAGAGTAGGTGGTGGGTTAGGTTTAGTGGAGTAGGTTTAAGTGGGTGAAGTAGGTGGAGAGTAGGTGGTGGGTTAGGTTTAGTGGAGTAGGTGATGTGGTAGTGGTGTAGTGGGTTAGGTTTAGTGGAGTAGGTTTAAGTGGGTGAAGTAGGTGGAGAGTATGTGGATTTAGTGGGTTAGGTTTAGTGGAGTAGGTTTAAGTGGGTGAAGTAGGTGGAGAGTATGTGGATTTAGTGGGTTAGGTTTAGTGGAGTAGGTGAGGTGGTAGTGGTGTAGTGGGTTAGGTTTAGTGGGTGAAGTAGGTGATAGGTTTTAACATCTCAAAATTCCAACTATCCTGGGTTTTAGACAACTGCATCGTTATCTTTTGGTCAAATGACTAAGAGGTTCTGACATTAAAACTTATTATTTACCTCCTGAAGGGAATTTTCAGATTGGTGGTTGGGGTTTTAGAGGCTTGAATGTCATAATGGTTGAGGTATTTAACCTTTCAAATTGTGTGAAAATATATTTCGAAAATATAACAAGCTCTCAGATTATTGCAGCACAATAATCTGTATAGACGTTCAAAATTTAGTTGGATGTTAAATTTTGATTTTCTTTTTAAAATATGATGTGTTCTTATTTTGACTTAACTGACATATAAAACTTAATGACTTCTTGGGTAGAGAAGTACTTAAAAGCTGTAATCTAAATACATTCCTCAAACACCTATTACCAAACCAAGCCCTGTGTCCCAATCAATTGGGATCAGCTACATGAGTCATTTTTCTCCATCTTGCTCTATCGAAGGCCATATGCTCAATTTCCCAAAAACATTTTAAGGAATGTTTTTTTTTTTTCTACATTTGCAGTGTCATTTTGTTGAGCATAAATTCATCTTTCTTGATGATCTGGATTATCATGCCCAGATGCTCATCGGCAGCGGATAGTTAATTGGATCAATGCCACTGGCGGTACATCATCAGCATTTGATGTCACAACAAAGGTACTTTTTGAACTCTATCATTGAGTTTTTTTTTTTTTTTTTTTAATATATGTATTTATTTTTCTAACCTAGATGTCGTGCTTGTTTTAAGTAGGCATTATGGAAATTTTATATTAAAAAAGATGTCTATTTATTTCTGTCAATTATTATCTAGTTATGACAAAGAAAATATTTTGTAAGCGTGAACTATTAGTGATGCAAATTAAATGCTTATGTTTGTTTGAATGATTATGTAAGATACTAACAAATAGAAATTATTCTTGTTATGACAAAGATTACTTAAATACCACTCTGGTGGGTATTGAGTCAATTGGGTTGTACCAACTGCTTTGAGTTCAAATCGGCATTTCAAAGACACAAATAGCTCAAGCTGAATTTTCTGGAAAGGCACTTTCCATGGAGCAATAATCACATACTCTTCTTCATATGTTTTATCCAATATGGATTGCAAAAATGTGGATGTTGAAATATTGAATGGGAAGAAAAGAGGGGGTACGCCCGCTAGGGGTTCTAAACTGATTTAAGATGGTGTGTCCATGAGAATCAACAGTGAATCAGTGCAGTGGCAGGGAGGATTAACATAATTTAGGTCATAACTATATCCAATTTGATGGTTAGTACATGTTAAACTAGGTTCTAAGTTACTTTTTATTTTTTTTATGAATAAAAGTCAATATTGTTAACAAAAAAGCATTTTTGGTGATTTTGTATAGTCAGGTTTGGAAAAAGTGTCCCTAGATTTGTTTGCTTTTGTAGATTTTATAGATACTCTTCTTACTTAGTTTTGGTTTCTCCTTAGTTTTGGTTTCTCTGTTGATTCTTTGTAGGTTAGGTTCTAAGTTACTTTTAAAAGAATTTAAAGAAAATAAAATGTTGGTGTAGCTTCTTAAAAGGAATACTACCTTGTTTAATTTATCAGTCTTTTGCAGGGTATACTACATTCTGCTCTGCATAATCAGTATTGGAGGTTGATTGATCCTCAGGGAAAACCAACAGGGGTAATGGGATGGTGGCCCTCCCGTGCTGTCACATTCTTAGAAAACCATGATACAGGATCAACACAGGTACTCTCTCACTCTCTCTCTCATACATCTGTTGCTGTGATTTGGAGTATTAAGTTTAACGATCAGCATGGTTCTCATTTATGAAGTGTTAAGTAGATTTGTATGGGGTATATGAAGTTAATGTGATCATGAAGGTCTATATGACGACATTCAACGAACTACTGAACCTTTTTTATTTTATTTTTTTAAAAAAAATTTAAATTCAGGGTCATTGGCCGTTTCCAAGGGACAAGCTTGCACAGGGATATGCCTACATTTTAACCCATCCGGGGACGGTAACTTCTTAATCCATGAAATGTGATATCATTAGGAAATTCTCTTGGTTTTTATTTGTTACTATAGAAAATTAATATATGGACTTTTTCACAGAACTCCCTCTACTTTCTGATTTGGAATCAAAGAAATTCTGTCTTTGCTTTTCTTTCTTTCTTTCTTTTTTTTTTTTTATACAGAAAATTAGATATAGAACCTTTTCCAAGGACTCCCAATACTTTCTGGTTTGGACACCTTTCCAATATCACCAATACATCCTTCCCTAGAACCATTTTTAGGAGTAACTGAGACCCATTGGCTGTTGAATAAATCCAAGATTTTTTCCTAGTACCATGTTGATGGTTTCACTGATTGCCTTTACGCTGTGTGTGGTTGGAGGATTTGAAAAGGTATTTGGAAAGGGAAAGAGAAAATGTGTGTGAAACTAGGTGAAATATATGTATGCTTTATTCACATTCACCTACCTTTTTCATTTTCCTTTCCAAATCCCTATTCATATCCCCCAACCAAACACAGTATTAATGTCTCAATTCTAGATTAAGCTATCTTCTTGGAAAATTGTTGTTCCCTGGTTGGGATGGATAACCGGTCTTCTTGTTCTTTGCAGCCTGTAATATTTTATGACCATTTCTATGACTTTGGCCTCCGTGACATCATAAATGAGTTAATTGAGGCCCGGAGGCGTGCTGGTGTACATTGTCGGAGCCCTGTCAAGATATACCATGCAAATGATGACGGTTATGTTGCACAGATTGGTGATACACTTGTAATGAAGCTTGGACATTTCGACTGGAATCCAGCAAAGGAAAATGATCTGGATGGAAGTTGGCTAAAGTTTGTTGATAAAGGCTCAGATTATCAACTCTGGCTAAGACAATAATATATATATATATTTTTTCTCTGTGGTACTTATCGGATATGACTATATTACTCTATTTGTAAAAATACCCGTATTTAGATTTGAGATTTTCAGAATTAAAGATTGGGAGGGAAAAACCACCATTTCTCCATCATTGTAGTAAATAAAATGTCGTAAGATAATATAAATGTGGCATTATTATATATTTATTAGGGATAATTATATCAATAAATCAATTATTTGTCTTGTACCTCTCGCAATGGAAGTCATTTTGCTCAATCATTTTAGCTACATTCCCACCTACATATAGATTGAAAACCAGGTCGGCTTTTGATCAAATAAATAAATAAAATATTAAGGAATTATATGTTAATCCTACATTACATAAACAAGTTGTTAGTGTCACACGATTACAAATATAATAATTTTATTTGCAAATGATATTCAACAACACACCTATTGTGAGAAGTTAAAAGGGAGTGTAAATATAACTTCTTTCTAATTTTTTTTAAAAAATAAAAGTCTTCTCTTATATTATTGAATCTTTAAATGCACTTTGCATGAAACTATGATGATCAAATTAAAATACTAAATTTTGAATATCTTCTTATGTATTGCCTCAGCCTAGTTAATATAAACAGTAATACTATGGCAACCAATTTTTATTTATTTTTTAATTTTTTTAGTATGGCCTCCAAATTTAGATACTAATAAATTTTGAATATATTCGCAATTGAGTGAGAGAGAAGGCTCTAACAAAAGAGCGCTACTATTAGTATCAACTTAATTTCTTTGGATCTCCCATTTCTTTGAACCCTCACCTTAAACTCTAAATTTTAATAAGATTTCTTTGAACGCTCTACTTAATACCAATTTTACCCATATTCATAATATCATCATACCCACGTGCACACTCTCCTAATTTTGCACTCTCTCTTCTTCTTCTCTTAGTAAATGATGAATGATTGAGAACAACAAACGATTGAGAGACAAATTTCTCCTTATCTTATAAACGATGGTCTCTTTCTCCTTGTCACCATAAACAAAGATATCTCAGTCGAAAATCTTGTCGATGATCTATTTTTTCTTCTCTCAAGTAAAATCTAACTTCCCATCACATACTATTTTTTATTTTATTTTATTTTTTAATTTTGGGATAAAACCCTCGGGGGTTTTAGAGAGAAAAATCCTCAGAAAAAAGGGAAAAATCCTACAAAAATGAAACCGTTCGGTATTCCAGTGTCGAACAAAATATTTATTTTTAGCACTGTATTACTGAACCGAACCGTAATAGTTGGCAAACTAGTACTGAATCGAAAATGACTCAGAATCGTAAATGCAAGATATAGATAACCTTTACCAATGCAACACCCACTTTATCAGAATTGATGTCATCGTCCTCTATTACTCTATAAGTATCAACGAATGGTGAGAACAACTACAAATGTAGAAATTCGGAGTTTATAATAAGATTGTTTGCAATGTTAACTAATTTGGAACACTGAGCACATTTGAAATCACCAAACAAAATGTTAACTGATTAGGTAGTTTTAAAAGTTTTTCATTGAAGATGAATACATGAGTTTAGGATGATGATGAAGAAGAATACGATTAAAGTTTAGATTGGTAAGAAATATGTATAGATGGGGATGAAGGTGTGTGTACAATATCGTAGAGTGTCATTCTAATTGTTTTCATTTGGTTGGTAAATGTTCCATTAAAAATTATCTTTTAATATAATTTTATTTCAAAGTATAATTATGATAAAAAAATAAAAATTAAGGATATAAAAAAATAAAGTAAATACTAATAGCAATACTCCTAACAAAAATACAAAAGCTCAGATTCGAAGACTTTTGGGACAACATGTTTCTCCCCATCCTAACCCACCACAAGTTTACTACTTTGTTGCTATATATCCTGTTCCTATAATATAACAAACAAAAAAATATTGATTTGACTTCCATTTTCAACACAAAAAGAGCATGTTCGATGATGACCTACTTAAGACAAATCTTTGACTTCAAAAGTGACTTCGATATTAATTAATATATACACACACATAGAGAGAGTGAGAGAGAAATGCATGCATGTGTACTTCCCATAATCTAGGAGTACTAGTCTCATCATCCTACATGGAGAAGTTATTCCATGCCCTATGAACATGATTAGATATTGTGCCAAAACAGACTATGATGGGTAGATATGGTGAATTCTGGAATTCATTCTTTTATGTGATATTTAATAATTGATTTGTGACATAAATCAATAATTAAGTTTGAAAGTTTATACTTAAAACAACGGAAAGCATAAAAGGGAAAATATAATTTCAGTGGAAATTAAAATACATATTTTACATTTTAAAAAAAAAAACTTTGCAAGAGATTAAAAGATTAATTCATAATTTTTTTTTTAAACTTACCATTTGAAATTATTTTTCCAATAAATAAAGTGGTGTTTTGAGAAGTTGGTAAAAAATTGACTTTTGACTTTTTTAGTCAAAAAGTTAGCTTTTTGAATAGTGACTTGGATAAAAAAAATTAACATTTTTGGCTAAAAAATTAAAAGTTAACTTTTTACTAATTTTTCAAAGTGAAAGCCGTGATGCGGAGTACCGTTTGGCCAAAAAAAGAAAAAAATGACAGCAATAATAATAGAGGTCATTAAATGTTGGAAACTAAAAATAAAATATACTGTGATACTATTTAGTGAAATCTAAGATTATTTTAGTACTTTAACACGTTTACACTGATCTAATCACTATCACACTCAAATGCTTGCAAGTAAGTACTGTCAGGGTGTTGAATGTTTTAGACAGTGATGGCCCATTAAATTTCAAACTGATTGTGGATTATCTGTTGGAGCTTGGAAGCAATTACGAGCTTGATTGAGCTATGATTAATTATTATTATTATTATTATTTTTTTGGTAAGAAGATTCTTAAAAAATTATTAGGTAATAGGTATGCCAAAAGCATTAATGTCCTAGTTAATCCATTAATATAAAATTATATTTATTATTTATTTTTTAATACAAACATAATAAAATAAAAATACTATGATCATCATATCAATTTATTTTTTTTAATAAATGATATACATGAATTTTTTTTACAAATTTAATAATTTAAATTATTAAAATAATACCTATAATAAGTCCACAAATCCAATCATAACCGTCAAACTTAAAAACAACAACAACAACAACTTGTTATATATGGATAATTACTACAAATCATTTTAAGAAGGCAAGTGTTATAAGTTTTAATTTTTTTATTAAATAAATTATCAAATGTCTCATATAAATGTGGAGTCTACAAAATTACAGACTCTACATCTATATGAGATATTTAATTATTTATTTAATAAAAAATTTAAGTTGCGTTTGGTAGAACTTTAAAATTATGATTTAAGAATAGAGTTGTATTTTAAATTTGTGAGTTTTGAAATTATGATTTGAAAGGAGAAAATTTGTTTGGTTATGAGTTTTGAAAAGATTTTTGAATTGAGTTTTGAATTTTTTATATGACATATGAAATGAGAAAATTTATTTGGTTATGAGTTTTGAAAAGAGTTTTCAAAACTTAATTCAGATACTTATAATTCATAACCAAATACACAAGTCAAAACTCTATTGAAAATTCTATTCAAAATTCATAATCAAACTCAAAATACAACTCTATTATCAAATTATAATTCTAAAACTCTACCAAATACAATCAAGATTTTTTCTGTCAAATAATCCATGCATTCATTTTCTTTGTCCAGAATGACAGACTTAGATAAAATGATATATAGTCTAAATCCTAACAGCACTCACACTTACACTCCCTCTTTTTTTTTCTCTCTCCCTCTCTCTCAACCATCACTGTTGCTACCCTCGCCTCCATCGCTGCCCTCTCTCCTTCCAAATTTGCATAGAGCAAGTCTGATTTCTCCACCAGACCTCACTGTGGGTTAATGAGTCTCGATTGGTTCTCTAGATCGTAGATCCACACCCTTCTCTCTCTCTCTCTCTCCAACATGGTGGCGATGACTTCCATTGCCGGTCCGTGGCAACTCACAGCAGAACTCACAGTACTAAGTTCTGGTGGCATTACTCCTCAAATCCAAGGGTTTCAAGCATTACCGGTGTGATCGGAACATATCCATGGGGATGAATGCGAAATGTATGAATATATATATATATATATATATGTCTGTGTTGGTGTTTAGTTGTTGAGAAAATAGGGAAATTTGAAAAATGAATTTTTGCTCGAAAAATGCCTGGGAGCACTAATTAGTGCTCCCACTAATTAGGTGGCAGTGGGTTCCGTCATTAATGATGTGATGTTTTGGTCTTGGAGTTGTGTTTTTTTTTTTTTTTTACTATTTTAATGCATTAGTGCTATTAGTGGTGATGTTTTTAGTGGGATGAATCATTGTTGTTTTTGCTCTCTCTCTCTCTCCAATTAAAGCACTTACGCCGCCGTGGTAGTAGGCGGAGGTGATGGCACAGAACCACTCTTGTAACCGAAGAGGAAATTTATAGCGATCCCGGATTTACCCTTGTTGTACAGTGATCCGGACATGTGTCCGTGGATGTTGGTAGTTGATTATTAACTTGTTTACATCCTTTTTTCTTGTATTTGAGTTGTGGGATGTGTTGGGCAGGTTTGTTACAGGTTGGTTGAGTTTAGAAACCAAAACTAGTTGCCCAGATTTTGACCTGTCCGCTCGAGCGGGGGTTCTGGCGCTCGAGCGGGAATTGCACCCATCCAGTATTTCCTGTGTAGTGTTGGACGCTCGAGCGTGGAGTTGGCCGCTCGAGCGGGGTTGTGTGAGTGCCGCTCAAGCGGGGGAGTTGGAAGCTCGAGCGGAGACCTGGTTCTGTAAAAGTTCTGGGAGTGTGTATCCGCCGCTCGAGCGGGATTGTTGACGCTCGAGCGGGAGGCTGTGAGTGATGCTCGAGCGGGGCTTTGGAAGCTCGAGCGGGGCGACTAGGTTAAAGCTCCGTGTTTTGATCTTTTAAATCACTTTTTCCACTTCTCTTCTCTCTCTTACTTTTTCAAAAACACCATTGTTGAGCCTCTCACTCTAGAACTCTACCTTCTCTCTAGGTTTTGATCTAGTAGGAGTGATTTGCTCATCTTTGGCCTTTACAAAAAAGTTGTTGATCGTCGAGGGCTTCATTTTATATATGACACTTCGTGTTTTGGAGCACGCTGGGTTTTGTCATCTTCTCCCTTGGAGCTCCGAATTTGAGGGTGTC